AAGGGGGGCACATTGAGGAACCTGGCCTTGGGGCAGCAGAGAGAGTAAATCCGGCCCTGTTCATGATCAGGATGTCACAGCTAAGGAGTAAGGATGAGCTCAGGTTCAAACTGAACTGGGTCTGAACCTGAGCTCCTCCGAACCTAGAAGGGACATGGACCCACCCACCCATACAGGTGTGGGCTGGGTATTCCCTGTCCCGCAGTTGCACATAAAGGAAGGGGTGGGATGCTTGAGCTGACATCACTGACCCTATATGGCCACATCGCCTTAATAGGTCAATGTCATTGACCAAATATGTAGCTGTATAAGGTCAATGATGTCACAACAGCCCGCCCCTTTGCTTATATGCAGCTGCTGGTGGAGCAGAAGTATAAAGGAGCTGCCTTCCAGGCCCGGAGGAGCTCAGGTTCGGAATGTGTTGGTCCCAACCTGAGTATGTGCCTATTAAGGATAGCAAAATGTCTGCTCGGGATTATATGTATATGTAGTACAGTACAGGTGTGGTGTATATGTGCCTGGAGTTCAGCTGTATATGTATAGATATAAAATTTCACCATCTCGTGGAGTCACGAGGCGGCCCAACCAAGTACTGATGGGGTGGTCATAATAATCTGGCCACTCAGTGTACAGCCCCTAAAGAACATATGAAACATAACCATGTGCCCTTGTATCAGCCAACGGTGCATGTTAATGGAAGAGGCAAATAGATGTTGCCATTCCCCACACCAGTGAGCGATGGTACCAAACAAATGTGGCACCACTGCAATATATATATAATGCAAGCAAGGTTTTACTTTACCAACTTGTACAGGAAGACACCAACATTCCTGTCCTTAAAGGGCCTCTTCATAGAAATGTTTCGATTATTATGGAGCACCAAACCAAACCTGGTCAATCAATCCATGTCCAAAAAGTGTTCATCCAGACATCTTTGTGTGCAGAAACACACTCATGCACCTACTCTGCAGGCCTATTAGACCTCTAATATCACCTTTGCATTCTGTTACAGGGACCATAGCACCTCCAGGTGGCGCTGGAACCAGGTCCTGTGGTTCCTGTGCTCACCTGCAGGTGTCTCCAGGTAGCCAGGAGCTGTCAGGTACCAGACCACCACTGGGTGGCGCTAGAACCTGCAATTCCGGTGCTCACCTGCGGGTGTCTCCCAGCTGTCAGCGATTGTTCACCACCTGGTGCTACCTGGGAGGGTATTTAATCCCTCCCTGTAGTGTGTACTTTGGCTCAGTATTGTTGCCATTTCCTGAGTCCTGATGCCCCCTAGTACTCTAACCTTTGCCCCTGTGGCTAACCTTTGCCCCTTGCTCCCCTGATTTCTCTTGTCCTGTTGTCTGTGTTTGTATTTGTATTCAGTTAGCTGTTATTAGTTGCTTGTGTTTATATGATTGTGCATAATAAACTGTATATAAGCTCATTGGCATTGTCTGGTGTGGTCACGCATTTGGTCCTGCCGTGGGGGGTACCTGCATGCGGTGTGAGGACACCCGCGCACGGTACCCTAACACACAGACTGCACTCAATCAGCTTCCTCCTGGCCAGAGAAGATTGAGAACCCTGAACCCAGAAGTGCTCAGAGCTGAGCACTTCTTGGCCCATTCTTCACAGAGGAGATCATTGACCTCCCAATGCTCCTCACCCGACACCCACCATGATGGTCCAGGGCACCCAGGAGGGCCAGGTAAGCCCAGAACACAGGTCAAGGGGGGTTTGTGTGTGTGTGTGTGGGGGTAGGGTGGTATGTTACAAACACTGTACCCTCCACACAAACTTTCAAGGTCTGGTCCAGCCAACACTAATATTTCAGGCTTTGTTAGGTGCTGGAGAGTTAAGTGTTTTCTCCTGTCTCTCGGTGACTGTTGGTGGCATTGGTCAAATCCCTGTTTTATCAACCGTGATCGGTTTGCATGGCGCATGTTGTCTTTTTAGGTATATAAAAGGAGAATGGGCAAATAATTTTGAGCCTCTGTACCCCTGTAGCTCATACCACATAGCTGGAGGACCTTGTGATCCAGCTCGTCGTAGCTTTCACTTGGCGCGGGTTCGGGTTTTGTCAGCGATTTCTCCGAGGAACCGGTTGACAGGCTGACTTGGGGCCACGGCTGGAGCTTCTGGACAGCCAGCACCCGCTTGCACGCCACCACCATCTGCAAAACAGGAAAACATTTTGGGGGGTTTTAGACACGCGCCGTATTGACACCGAAATCTCTAGATGTGGCAGGAGTTTCCTACGCTCACCGGGGGGCCATGTTTCAATGGCACCTCCAGATGTCTCTACAGAATCCAATATGTGGTATAGTACAGCCACAGAAACCATCTGCCTCTTGTTTCCCGAAGCTCCCATTGTGTTATCTGCCTGCAAACTAGTAGACTGTAATCATGAATAAAGGAGATTATTATCCGTGTTACTAAAATATATGACATGTGATATGTGGACGGATCACTCAAGGTAGCTGCATTTTTATTTCAATAACAACCTGCATTTATTACCGTATTTGCCGGCGTATAAGACGGGTTTTGAAACCTTAAAGCATCCCCCCAAAAATCAGGGGGGTCGTCTTATACGCCGGGTACATACGGAAGGATATGGTATGGTGTATGTAGCTCCGGCTACATACAGTATACCGCGCTGAGCCAATCGCGGCAGGCTTTGAATTCATGAATACAAAGCCTGCCGTGAGTGACTCAGCGGAAGACGGAGGACGCAGCAGGGATCGTGGACAAGGTAAGAGACTGTAATCCCGAGTGTGGCTCGAGGGTTACCGCTTATGGTACTGAAAATTACCCCCCAAGCCACACTCGGGAATACCGCCATGGATGTTAGTGGGCGCATTTAAACATTATTTTGGGCTATACTCGTCTTATACGACGAGTATAGCCCAAAACCTATATTTTAAAGGAGAACTATGGGGTCAGGGCTTTTCCCCATAGTTCTCCTCAGGGTAACGGGAGGACACAAACTAGCGTCCTCCCATCACCCTAAGCTCAGTATATAGGGAGCTACAGCTCGCGGTATACTGAGACGCCGCAGCCGGAGCGTATCCCGACAATTGTGCCGGGATCCGCCCAGCTGCGTGACTGACAGCTGGCTCTGCCTATCTAGAGGCAGAGCCAGTTTTACCCGCCCCCTCCCCCGTCCGTTCCGCCAGTCAGCGCTGGCGGATCGGAGCGGCGAGGGGGGGAATCCAGCCCCTCCCCCTGTCACGGCAGAGAGCCGTGACAGGATCATGAATCGAGCGAACGCCGGTATGTGTTCGCTCACCTCCCGATGTATGTGTTCGCTCAGTCTCATTGTCACAGGTCGGCTAGAACTATGAGGTGAGTGAAAAGCAGCCCCCCGCCCCCTCATAGTTCTCCTTTAAACACAAAAAGTAGGGGGTCGTCTTATACGCCGGCAAATACGGTAGGTATATTTCAAGTCAAAACTGTTGTTACCAGTGTCCCCAATGGTAGATTAAGTGGTCAGGTGACAACTGAAAATTTTGGATTTCCCATCACACTTTTAGTCCCAGTGCTAGTGGTCACCAGTACGAATAAAGAGGGTAGATCATGGGTCCTACCCCTCACCACTCCATCCTAAACTAAAAAAAAAAAATGACAGACCATACTATATTAACCCCTTCGTGACTGACGGCGTACAGTGTACGTCGCTGTCATCGGGGCTTTTGCCGCCGGGACTCTGTTTAAACTTGTAAAGCCGACTGTCAGCTTTACAATAGAAGCGATTCTGGCGGCTCAGCTGTCACCAGATCGCTTCTATGGCCCAGTGAAGGGGTACCCCCGCCCGAAACCCCCCGCCGTGCTTCCCGGGCTCCTTTGCCCCTCCTATGGGCCCGGCTTCTCTGGTGTCGGCCGGAAGCTGGGCAGGAGATGGGCGAACCTCCGTTCGTCGATCCGCTCCCCGTTCAATGGGATCGGGAGTGATGCAGATTGCATCACTTCCGGTCCCTGAGCTGTCATTGTTCGGCTCCGGAAGCCTGTGATCTGCATTTCAATAGCTTATTTGGAGTGTAGCGGTGACACATGTTGGGTATCGCCGCGCACGCCGGAGTGAGAGCAATAATTCCAGGGTCAGTATTTTGGGTATCTCTAAATTGTTGACCTGTGGTGGCTTTTTAAAGCGTCGTCTATGGACTTTTTGGGGTACTGAAGTTTGACGCCGTTTCACGGACGCACACAATTTTTAACCTGAGCATGTTGGGTATCTATTTACTCGTTGTAACCTCGTCTTTTATATTATATTAAAATATTGGGGATTTTATTGTGTTTTGAGGCATTTAAGTACATTTTCCACTATATTTTGGGGTTTGATAAGGAGTTGCGCAACATAAAAATTTGCAACTGCCAACATTTTATTCTACGGGGTCTCGGCTTTCAGAAAATATATCATGTTTGGGGGGTTTTAAGTCATGTTCAGGCCTAAAATGTGGAATATAAGATGGGTGCAAAAAATGTTAAAAAAAGGCCTCAGTCATGAAGGGGTTAAGTGATTTCTAGCTACAGTATTTTTTGAGCCATATATTCATACACAGGCTGAAATAAAGATGGAAACAGCAGAGAGGGAAATCTATACTGCCAAATCAACCCAACAACCCAACATTCACGTCACCTGGTATAATCGTGAACTGGTAATAAGAAGCCATTGGGTTTACCACACAGGAACCTCAGGATCCCAGGGACTTCTGGTCACCTAGCCAATAGGAGTTCCATTTTAAAGCCATTAAGGGTTTATGGGCTGAGTCTCTCCATTCCCTGGGACATTGGCCACCTAAACAGGAAGTAGTATATGTCCTATTAAGGAAGTATAATAACTCCTATTAGTGAGGTGTTGTCGCACATGAACACTTGGAGCTTCCTTTAGGCTGGGTTCACACTATTGCTGTCGACACGTCTTGTGTTAAGGCAGCTCATTCATTTGACGGGTCTGCCCAACGCACCAAAACGCACCAATAAAAAGGTGCTTGTACTCAGGGCCGGATTTCCCACAAGGCCAACCAAAGCCCGGGCCTTGGGGCAGCAGGGGTGTGGAATTCCTATCTCCTGATGCCTGGGACATGCAGTTCCGGGCGCTGGGCGGGTAGTTGTTTTCTACATTTAGCCCTGCTTTGGGCAAGCAAAACTAAATGTACAGCGGGGAAGCCGCCGCATCCTTTGTACAAGTGATCCCGGCTATGTCGCCGAGATCACTTGTATGTAGCCTGCAGGTCTGCCATTCTCCATGTGTGGGGGGGGAGGG